GCTCTCTCTGCCGCCAGTGCTGCTGGAGAACGTGGGCGAGGAGCTGGACCCCATCCTGGAGCCGCTGCTGCTGAAGCAGACCTTCAAGCATGGCGGCAGCACGTGCATCCGCCTGGGGGCCCCGGTCCCGCAGCTGGAGCTCGGGGACTGCACGCACCTCGTTCTCTGCAGACGTGACCCCCGCTCCTCTGGAGCCGGGGTTCAGGAGCAGGACATGGGCGCTCTCCTCCGCCCATTTTACGGATTGCTGAGCAGAACTGCTTTCGCGCTAAAATCTAACAGTCGCGTCCAGAGTCCAGTCGGGTGAAGGTTCCTGTCGCGACTGCAAGGCCCCGGGAGGCTGGTCCGCTGCTCATTCCCAGGCCGGGGCCCCTGCGGAATGCGCCTGGGATGAGCTGGGAGGCAGGGGGAGGGGGTGGAGATGGGGGGTAGGGAGGGGGGGGGGGAGAGGAGGGGGGAGAGCTCTCACTCGCAGGCCTAGAGGAGAGCACGGTAAGCAATACTGATTCCGATTCTGCAAGTTACATATAGAGACGAGACTGATGCAGGCAGCGCAGAAGCGTCCTTCAGGGAAATGTTTACATTCGTGCCGACACCGGTCCGCAGCGGGGAGGAAGCCTAAGATGGCACAGCTCCCGCCTCCCTCCTCCCTCCGAGAGGAGCACACACAGGCCTTGTGTCCCGAGGCTTCCGTGGTCAATAACGGGACCATCTTCATGACCAGAGGACAGGGAGGAGCTGAGAGCTGGGCATACACGTTCCCGGACAGTCAGGGCAGCCAGGAAGGGGGGCGGGGGGGAGGGAGGGGCTGGGGAGCGGCCCTGGAGCCTCGTTTTAAAAACAACAATTAATTAAAATAAGTATGTTCTCTAAACCCCTGAAAAGAGTGTATGGTTAATGTACCTGTGAGGAGAAGCAGTGCCCAGTAGGGTTAAGAGCATGTTTCTGCAGCTGGACAACCTTGGTTCACACCCCAGCTCCATCACTTGCCAGTGGTGTGACTTGGCCACGTTATTAACCTCTCTCTGTGCCTCAGTTCCCTTATCTATAAAATGGGAATGATACACGTCTACCCATAGAGTGATGTGAAGGCTAAATCAGTGAATCTATGTAAAATCCTCAGAATAAGGCCCAGCACATATGATATGAGCACTAACTATTCGCATTATTCACTTATAAGTAAAAAAAAAGAATGAAACATAGAAGAAAATTACAAAATCCTAAAGCTGGGGTACAAAAAATGTTTTTTAAATAAATGGCAAGATGTCACCCCAACAAATTTAAATAGATAAATAAATGATGTGGAATACCTTTGTTTACTTTTCAGTAAAATCTCAGAAGATACCACAATGAACATAAACCATTTTTAGCTCCCTGATCACTACTTGTAATAAAAGTCCTACCCCCTGTGGGGAGGAAACTGATCTATGAGTCACAATTGAAATCCCCGAGATCCCTGGAGGGTCTGATTGCTTCATTATTTTTAATTGCTGGGATTGATTAAACAGGGATTAGAAAACATAGTGAAGCAGTTACTTGCTTTCATTTACAAATTAAAATACTTCCCCTTGATCCTATTTTTAGGATCTTTTATGTACCTTTTGCTTTCAAAAATACCCAGGGGATGACAGCATGCTGTATAACCCTTTTGAATCTAAATGAAAATAATATTAGGAAGCCATCTTTGTATAATATTCTTCTAGATATTTTTATGGGTTTTGGCTGTTTATTTTTTTCTTCATCATTTATCCCCCATACCTTCTTCCACTTCCCCCTACCTCCCCCCGACACACACACACACACACACACAATCACACACTGCTGTGTAGGTCCGTAAATGTTTATTTGTGAGAAAACAGTTGGATTTGCAAAATACTGATCTCAAAAAAATCTCACATTAATGGAATATGAATGACTACCTCTTTGTGTCTGAACACAATGGGGTAAAAGTTGTAAGACATGTATTTTACTAAACACCGTGGCTCTGGTTTGGGGATTAAAGCATATGTAACCTGTATACTTGGTTCTCATGCCAACAGGGAACATCTCTTGAAAGATTTAGTTATAATTTTTCACGAATGAATGCCAAACAGTAGAGAATTACATAACAACATATCATGAGTTTTCTGAATTGCTCAGTTTCAGGAATGGCTTGTTATCCCATTTAAACTTACGATTTTGCCCATGCACTCTCTATGTTTAGTGGCATCCAACCCTGTCATGGGGTAAGTGAGGGGGAAAGCTGAGAAGGGCTGGGTCTGGGTGGAGGAGGGAGCCGCCTCTTTATGAAGCTGTGATAAAATTCCCCATCACAGATAGGAAATGTTCTTATAGAACGTTTAGTATAGAACATTAGTTATTATTTTAGCAAAAAAATTACTGTCTTCCTGCAGAAGAAATTTTCTCTTACTGGGAAAGGTGGGGTGACACAGGGTCTCCCAGTCAGCGGGCAGAGCTGCAGCACATGCGACATTTCATAGTTTGTGTGCGTGGGATTCCACAGTCAGCCAGCATCCCTAAATTAAAGGCACAGGGCAGAGAGGCAGGGGAGGGGATGCTCAAGACATAGGTGAGGACCTTAACCCAAGACGTGAGGGCAGGCAGATTGCAAGATAGATGTTGGGTGGGGAGAGTGTGTGTTCAAATTAATTAAGGTTGATATGTTCAAGGTCAATGGAGTTTTTACTGCCTTATGGGTTTGTCGGTGACTAGAGCCAGAAAGTTCCTGTAGTTTATTGCTGTGTGTGGATGAGGGTGTGGAGGCAGGGGTGAGAGCAGGTTGTAGAGGGCTGAAGGACAATCTAGGTGAAGACAGAAAGCATATATAAGGAGCATCTTCACTAAATACAGTTCTGCAGACACCAAGAGCGGGCGTTCCATAGCTGAGGGGGATTGTGGGGACAAAAGAACGATTTACTTTCATGTTGTTTGCTTTTTAAAAAGAGAGACCTGAGCACGATTACTTCCCCACTCAGGCAAAGAAGCAGGAAGGGGGGATTTTAAGATGTAGGCAGCAGAGGGAGATGGGCCTGCAAGAGCCAGTATGTCCGAAGCAGGTGTCAGCTTGCTGCGTCCCGCTGGGCGCCACTGAGATGCAAATCCCTTAGTTCCCAGTAGTGGCTGGTTGTCAGGCTGTAAGTTCCATGTTATAATATGATTATGAAATTGTAAATATGTATACTTCACTTGTGACAGTGATGACAGGGATTTCCCCCCTCTTATCTCACTGTGTAAGATTTCCTTTTTTGCACTTCTAGGATCCTTAAAATACAACCCAGCGGGTCCAGTCAATATGAGAGATGGTTTGCAACCTGATTCTAATTGATTTTGAGGTGAACAGATTATTAGAAATTGGACCAGTTTGAAATCAAAATGTGTTTTAAAAAAAGATTTTTATTGATTTCAGAGAGGAAGGGAGAGGAGAGAGAGATAGAAACATCAATGATGAGAGAAAATCATTGATTGGATGCCTCCTGTATGCCCCACACTGGGGAGTGAGCCCACAACCCAGGCATGTGCCCTGGTTGGAATTGAACTGTGACCTCCTGGTTCATAGGTTGATGCTCAATCACTGAGCCACAATAGCCGGGCTGAAATAAAAATAAGATCACAAGAAAACCCCTTTGAAGTATCACATTTATGACCATAAGAAACTTTAGTGTGTTTTTAGCCCAACCATCAAGCTTGCCTATTTCTTTAGTTATCATCTCTACAAATTCCTCCTTTCACACACTCTACCATAGTAACTAGAATCTCTTTTTAAGGTCAAACTTGAAGCACAAAAGCAGAGGCTTTCTCCATAGAAACAATGACTTGATTTGTGTGTATCCTTCCATTTGTAGGTGACATTATTAAACTTCATGATAACGTCAGAGGGAATGCAGGACCAGCTGTTGGGAATTGTGGTGGCGCGAGAAAGGCCGGACCTTGAGGAGGAAAAACAAGCCCTGATACTGCAAGGAGCTGAAAACAAAAGGTTTTAAACACTACAACATACAGAATTATCTTTCCTTGTCCCAAGATCACTTTGAATCAATTGAAGTGCATTTTAAAGATCTATCCTATATAATAAAAGGCTCACATGCAAATCAACTGAACAGCAGAACAACAGGTTGCTATGACATGGACTGACCACCTGGTGATCAGTGCGCTCCCTCGGGGGGAGCATAGCTCAGCCACGAGCCAGGCTCACGGCTGGCAAGCTCATCGGAGGTGGCAGGAGCCTCTCCTGTGCAGCGCTAAGGATGTCCGACTGCCAGCTTAGGCCCACTCCCCACTAGAAGCAGGCCTAAGCTGTCAGTTGGACAGCCCCTGAGGGCTCCCGGATTGTGAGAGGGTGCAGGCTGAGCTGAGGGACCCCCCGCCCCCCAGGGCACTAATTTCATGTACTGCGCCTCTAGTTATGTTATATTAAACAGGTGCGTTGAATAGGAAGATGTAAGAGGAAAATATAAGGTATTACAGAGCTTCTATGAGAACTTGGAAAATGCATTACCGAGTATATTTTCACAGGCAAGTTCTTAGGCACCGGAAGAAGTGGGAGGCCATGTGTTTCCCACTTGGCAATGACGCCTTAGCACAAAAGCTTTAGTATTTATTGTGTAAGGGAGCTCACCTGTTTTCACTAGCGCACAGTCTGAAAGGACATGTCACATCCACTGTCTGCTTATGATATCTGTATCTCAGGTAGAACGGGTACGGCTCCGTAAGTTGTGGGAATTTCGGAAATGAATGGAGTGATGCTTCCTGTGCTATGGGGGATAGGATGCGGATGGCAGAGTCAGTTGGCTTACCTACCGTCTCCCCAGTTACCGCATAAATGGCCATTAGAAAGCGAAGTGGGGCAGAAAAGCCTGTTCAATGACTATAAACTTTTTTTGTTTCCCACTTGGCAATGACGCCTTAGCACAAAAGCTTTAGTATTTATTGAGTAAGGGAGCTCACCTGTTTTCACTAGCGCACAGTCTGAAAGGACGTCACATCCACTGTCTGCTTATGATATCTGTATCTCAGGTAGAACGGGTACGGCTCCGTAAGTTGTGGGAATTTCGGAAAATGAATGGAGTGATGCTTCCTGTGCTATGGGGGAGAGGATGCGGATGGCAGAGTCGGTTGGCTTACCTACCGTCTCCCCAGTTACCGCATAAATGGCCATTAGAAAGCGAAGTGGGGCAGAAAAGCCTGTCTTTCTGACATTTGCGAGATAAGAAATCATACAGCATCACCATATGGTGTTTGTCCCAAATGATGCATTTCTTTAGCTCACGAGCTCTTTGTTTCTGGTAAAAGAATGTGTGTACGTGAAGCGATTTCAAACGATTTCTTTTTCTCCTGAGAAAATTGTGTTTGATTCCAGGCAGTTAAAAGAAATAGAAGACAAGATTTTGGAAGTTCTTTCGTCTTCGGAAGGCAACATCTTAGAAGACGAAACTGCGATTAAGATACTGTCTTCCTCCAAGGCGTTGGCCAATGAGATCTCGCAGAAGCAGGAGGTGGCCGAGGAGACGGAGCGGCAGATTGACACCACCCGCATGGGCTACCGGCCCATCGCCATCCACTCCACCATCCTGTTCTTCTCCATTGCCGACCTCGCCAACATTGAGCCCATGTACCAGTACTCGCTGAACTGGTTTATTAACCTTTTCATCCTGTCTATTGAGAACTCGGAGAATTCAGACATTTTATCTAAAAGGTAGGTGAATACTAACTAATGAATGCATGGGCATTAAATAGCAATGGGCGGCTTTCATTGTTTCTCTCCGGGATGCTTTGATCATTGCAGGCACTTCGCTAAAATGACTAATCGTCATACCAGAAATAAATGTGAGGGTTTGAAATGGAACAGATGTGACCAAATTCAGTCTGCCAGGAAATGGCTCACAGAGATATAAGGTTATAATATAATTCTAAAAAGAGGAAACATGGAACCTCATTTTACCATTTGCAAAATGTACTTATGACTGGAGAAATGGAAAGAATAGTTCAGACCCCTAAGAAATATGACTCTTACCCTGTGTAAGCTTGTATTTCAAAAGTTACTGATTCAGGTTTTTATATATACATATGTAAACTTTGTCAAGTAACAGGGTCTTAAAAAAGTCTCCCTTTGTGACCATTTGGTATATTTACATGAGATACCTAATTTTACTGGTGGCTCTTACACTCAGTAATGGAATTCAGACCTTAATGGTATGTCTGTAAGAATAAAATTTCATTTTGTTGCCAGTGGGATAAATTTTAGTTTGGTGTTAAAACATGTTTTTAATAGAGTCTAACCCAAAATGACTGCTTGAATAAAGAAAATAACTCATTGCAGTCATTGCCCTTTGTAACGTTCTTGATCAATATGAAGCGGATACCTGTTCCTCGGCTGTTTGTGCCCAAAGGAAACTCAGTTTAATAATCACTTGCAGTTAACACTTAAAATAATTGCCAATCTCCTGACATCTCAATTCCATTCCTGCATTTACGATGGTAGAATTTTGCTAAATGTTGAATGTTCTTAGACTGAGCATTTTCTTTTGGCATTACCATTCATTATTTGACAAGCTTGAGCATGAGACTAATAAAGGGGTAAGACTGATGCTTGGCAAACAGTTTTTCAGATGTCTGCTCATGAGCCAGGAAACAGAGGGAGAGGGGACAGTGGGGTCTTTAGGGAAGAAATGCATGATGGTAGAGTTTAAATTTTGTTTTTACATAAGGATACTAGAAGCCCAGTGTATGAATTCGTGCACTGGTGGGGTCTCTCGGTCTGGCCTGTGGGATTGGGCCGAAACTGGCTCTCAGACATCCCCCAAGAAGATCTGGATTGTGAGAGGGCACAGACAAGGTTGTGGGACCCCACTGGGTGCACAATCAGGGCCAGGGAGGGATGCTGGAGGTTGGCCAGCCAGGGAGAGACTGTGGAAGGGCTCCAGGTCATGTCTGGCCAGTCTTGCTCAGTCCCGATTGGTTAGACCCCAGCAGCAAGCTAACTTATTGGTCTGAGTGTCTTCCCCATTGGTCAGTGCACGTCATAGCAAGCGGTTGAGTGGCCTTAGCATATCATTAGCATATTATGCTTTCATTGGTTGAATGGATGACCAGACGACCATATTAGGCTTTTATTATACAGGATTTGAAAATGCTTCAGTTTGTTTCTCTATCTCTTCCAGTATCTGAAATTTTAAGATTAGCATGGATTAGTGAAATTCAGAAAATAAAATTTTAAATGACTTTTCTTAGAGAAGCTCCCAGCCATTTGCATTATGGTAGTTCACTGAACAAGAACGTTTGCGTTTAACTCTAAAATCTGAGTTTCTTGAGGCAAGGATTTATTTTTTTAATGTTCCCAGAACCTATCATGTGTCAGTCACACAGAGGCACACAGTCAATGATGCCTTGCTTCTCACTGAAGTGCCTAATCTCAATCCTGGTTACAACAATAATACCAGAAAGTTAGCATCTTAACTGCTTCTTCTTTAAAACATTTTTCTTGATTTCAGAGAGGAAGGGAGAGGGAGAGAGAGATAGAAACATCAATGCTGTGAGAACATCATTGATTGGCTGCCTCCTGCACACCCCACATTGGGGATCAAGCCCACAACCCAGGCATGTGCCCTGACTGGGAATTGCTCAACCACTGAACCACACTGGCCAGGCTCATCTTAACTACTTCTAAATCATGGTCTTTTCTGGAGTCTAGAGAAAAAAAATTCTTTGCTCTGTCACTTAAAGACACATTTTGTGCACAAGATTTAAAAATTAGAACAATTATTTTGTTTTTATAACAAATTAGAACTCATCCACCTATGTGACATCTGTTTCTTCAATAACTGTGATGTAGACCCATACAATTTATAGAAAAATTAAATCCTTTTACCCAGATGTGAGAGTTGGATGAAATATAGAAAACAAAATATACCTTTTTCTTTTTTTAGTTAAAATTCTTTCATTTAGAAACAACAGAAATCATATTTATGACTACAGTTATCCTACAATTATAATCTGGAACCAAAGAGTAAGTAGAAAAGAAATGATTTGAAAACATTTATTGAGGTTATTAACATACTAGAGGCCCAGTGCACAAAATTCGTGTGTGGGTCCGGTCCCTAGGCCTGGCCTGCGATCAGGGCCATCTTCCCTGGCTGCCTGCAGCCAGCCCCACCCCCTGCCGCCACCCAGCCCTGGTTTCCTGTTCGCCATCGTGCCATCGGAGTCTGCCAGCCGAGGGGAAGGACCAAGAGGTTGGCGGTTCTTGCTTGCTCGCTGGCCCTGCCCCCACCGCGGGTCGCCCTCTGTGTGTGGGGCAACCAGCGGGGTGGGGACCTGGGCCTGGTGCTGCCTGCGTCCCCCGCCACCCAGCCCTGGTTTCCTGTTCGCCATCGTGCCATCGGAGTCTGCCAGCCGAGGGGAAGGACCAAGAGGTTGGCGGTTCTTGCTTGCTCGCTGGCCCTGCCCCCACCGCGGGTCGCCCTCTGTGTGTGGGGCAACCAGCGGGGTGGGGACCTGGGCCTGGTGCTGCCTGCGTCCCCCGCCACCCATCCCTGGTTCCCCGTTCACCACCAGGCAATAGGAGCCTGTGGCTGGGGAGAGGGACTGAGAGGTGGGTAGTGACTGGTTGAGCGGTTGTTCTGGTTGTTCCACCGTAAGGGTCCATTTGCATATTACCCTTTTATTATATAGGATAGGCAGAAACATACAGGAATCCTCAGTATTTGCTCCATGAGTTTTCATAAATGAGCACACCCATGTCACCAGCACCCAGACCAAGACATATTTGTTTCCCTCCTCGGCACTGACCCTGCCCCAACGCAATCACTGCCCTGAGTTCCGACCCCCTGGGTCAGTGTGGCCTGTTGTAGCGCAGCACAGCGATGGACTGGCATAGTGTGCGCTTCCGCCTGCCATCTGCGTCAGCCTGTGCGTGAGATTCCTATCGCTCCGTGCGGTGCAGGCTTACTCACTCTGGTTGTGAAGTAGCAGGCCACGGGGTGAGCATATTGGTGGGGAAGTATAAAAACAAGCTCTCCCGGCCAGATCCTCTCCACCCGCAGCAAAGACAGAGTCTTATTAGGGAATGCGCCTTAAACCAGAAGGTGCTGTGCGTCACAGACAATCCGGAGGAGATTGCAAAGATAGAAACCTCGCCCTCCCTCTGCCAGCCCCTGGGGGAGTGACCATGGGTGTCAGCAAACTGCCTCACCCAGAGGGAAAACAGATGGCTGCTGTCTTTATGGCAGGAGGTAGCGCAGGCACTCAGCTAGGCTGCGACCCTCCCACGACACTGGGGGGCAGGGCGCTGTGTCCTGCCCTGCACGCATCGGAGAGACCGTCCTCCGTCTCCGGGAAAGGCGTTCCCGGGTCAGAAAGCGGATGCGAGGCCCACGCTTTCCAAAGCCCACGCTTGCATTTCAGAGAGAGAAGAAAGGACTTCTGATTTTAAGTTTCCAAAAGGAAACAGGCTAAGAAAACAGAGGGGCAGGACATCTCTGCTCTTATTTTCAAAAGGGAGCCTTAAACCTGTGATGTTTATATGTGTATTTGTCCTTACACTATAACACACATTTTTATTCGTTTGCTGTCGAGGACAACTTGGGTAGCTTCAGTTTGGAACTGTTCTAAATTGTTGCTGCCTTCGACATTCTTGTACTTGGCTTTTCCACGTAACATGTACGGTAGGCATGTAGCTAAGAGTGGAGTCAGTGACCACAGGGTGTACATAGGGTCCATATTAGTAAACACTGCCACACAGAGCTCCAAACTTTGAGCCAGGCTTGTTTATTTTTTTATTATTATTTTTAGTAAAATAAGGGTTTTCAATGAAGAAGCTAACTCCCATTCAGAAATTAAAGTTAGACTGAGTTCTAGGAATCCTTTCTCTGTCAATCATTGGTAAACACCAGATAAGCTGTGGATTTCAGTTAGCTGCTGAACTCCAGCTACACCAGACTAACAAATTATTTTAGAATCTTAACATTGTCTAAACTTACCTCTCATTTCCTTTTATTCAAAGAAAAAAATGTACTTCATTTTTGTTTGTCTTCTGATAGTTATTATTTGTAATAATTATTACTTAACTGTGCAAGCTAACATGTTATGACTACTATGGTGTATACTATGCAAAATAATTTGAATCATCTGGTTTTTATAAAAATTTTAATGTACCAAAATTTATTATAGCAAAATAAATAAATAACTATAGCAAAAAATACGTTAAGTACTGAAACAAAAATCTAACTAGGATATAACTTTGTTACACGGACCAAACTGAAATCTCTCCCTCTCTCTCTGTCTCTCTCAGAAATACATATAAGTAAACACACACACACACACACACACACTTACTCACTCACACATATACACACACATGAGGTTTCTTTCTTTTTTTTCCTACTTCTACAAGATCATTTTTTCCATGTTATTAAATATTCTTCTAAAACAGAATTTTTGGTAGCTGGACAATATACCACTTTATGAATGTACCACAATTTCCTAATTGTAAGTAATCTATGTCAATCACTAGCTCTCTGGACATGTTTTGTTCATTTCTATTATAATTTTTATAACATATCGAATAAAAGTATTTTAAATTTTTTATTTCAATGCTAGTTTATTTCCCTTGGAAGATAATTAAGTAAAAATGCTTTAAGTGTTATATTCACATTATGATTTATTGTGAATACAGATCGCATGTTAGCACTTACTAGAAAGTTGTTAGTTACAAATATTGTGACCTGCATGTTCTGAATTTGTGGTAAATAAAAATGCAGTTTATCAAGTTTTGTGATTTCTCCAGCTTTTGTGAATTTATGGACAGAGTAGCACATTACTAAACTTAATAAAGGAGCTATACATTTTGGTCTGTTCATTTAACATATAATATGGAATATTTGGGAGTACTTATACAATAAAGAAATCAAATTTAACCCCAAGAAATGTTTTGTTAAAAATAGTTCACAAACCTTTAAAAGTAATAGATTAATACAAGCAAACATTAATTTCTTTTTCAAAAGGAAGATTTTTTAAAAAATCAGTTGAGAATAAAATATCTTCTACTGGCCCTAACCGGTTTAGCTTAGTGGATAGAGCGCCCGCCTGCGGACTCAGGGGTCCCAGGTTCGATTCCGGTCAAGGGCATGTACCTTGGTTGTGGGCACATCCCCAGTGGTGGGTGTGCAGGAGGCAGCTGATCGATGTTTCTAACTCTCTATCCTTCTCCCTTCCTCTCTGTAAAAAAAACAATAAAATCTATTTTAAAAAAATATCTTCTACTGGTGTTTCTACATCCTGTACGTCTCAAATTAGTGGACTCAGCTGCTTAGGACTCTGGATTATTAGGGGTGACTGACCAGAAAGCTGACTGGGTAGCATACACCTAACTGGTTTATGGGAGGTTTCCTTCCAGCACCTTCTGTAAAGTGTGACACGTTGGTGTGACTGACTTCTCTCTCTGTCGCCCCCAGGCTGCAGATTCTCAGGGACCACTTCACGTACTCGCTCTATGTGAACGTGTGCCGGTCGCTCTTTGAGAAGGACAAGCTGCTCTTCTCCTTCTGCCTCACCGTGAACCTGCAGATCCACGAGCACGCGGTCAGTGCTGCTCTCTGTGCAGGGGGAGCCCATCACATAACGCTGCCTCGTTAATGTACTGGTTTGTGTATTCGTGTGGGGACATAGGTAGAAAGAGTTGTAAATCATTACACAAGAAGAATTACTATAATTAAGGCAAGACAACACTACTAGACTGAATTTCAGAGGTGAAAAACTAAACATGGAGTTCATCATGTAACTATTATTTAAACTTGTGTATGTTTTCATTTAAAATAAATTAGTTTCTATTAAAAACATATAAATACGAGAGGCCTGATGCACAAAATTCGTGAGGGGCTCTGCCCCCACCGCCACAGCAACCACCTCTGCCTCGGCCCCTGCTGCTGCGGCTTTGTCCAGAAGGTCGTCCAGAAGGACATCTGGAAGGATGTCTGGTCTAATTAGCATATCACACTTTTATTATTATAGATGCATATAAATGTACTAAGTTTATTGATATGTTTATATCAAGTAATAGCATAAACGGCAATGTTTTTAAGAACTTGTGCAAGTTAGACAAATCTGTGTTGAACAATACCTTTCACACATTTTTCTAAGTTTAAAATCCATTCATTTAAAATAAAGGAAGCACTGTGAGAATGGAGGTGGTGTGTAAAGTCAGTATTTTGTCAACTTATGTGTCTAAGACTTATTGATTTCATATGGTGATATATTGGTGGAATTCTGAAGGAGTAAAGGATTTATTTTTGCATTTCTTGCAAAAGTTTCATAACAGTACTTGGCTATATTTTATGGAAAATAATTGAAAACATGGCAGATTGATGGCTTTTCACAATTTCTAGGGCCGGCAATACTCTAAGCAGCCATTCGGGAAAACATATATTCAAATAGAATATGTTCAGATTTTTGTGTTAAATGAGTAATTCTGGAGATCATCAAAAAGTAGTTTTTTAAGATGGAACAATTTTTGAAGAATGATTATGATAGACACAATGGTTTCTCATTGATAAGTACTGATCCATCTCAGTAGGATGGGCTTTCATATGAACCACACCTGAAACTTGAACATCAACTGTCAATTTTTAAAAACAGCTGTAAATGTACTATTTATGTGACAAACTTACTTCCGACCCTTCATGCTGCTTTTTCTCTTTTTCCCCCAAAAGATTAATAAGGCCGAGTGGAGGTTTCTGCTCACGGGAGGCATCGGCCTGGACAACCCTTACACCAACCCTTGTACGTGGCTTCCTCAGAAGTCCTGGGATGAGATCTGTCGCCTGGACGAGCTGCCCTCCTTTAAAGCCATCCGGAAGGAGTTCATGCACCTCAAGGACGGGTGGAAAAGAGTCTATGATAGTTTGGTATGTTTTCAAGGCTCTCGCTTTCCAAAATGTTTTAAGTGGAGAAAATGTTCAATAACATATTCTCATTTTTGAAAACAAACACGATTCAAGGAAGCTTTATGTAAGCTGGTCGGATGTTAAATAGCAAAGTGTAGAACCACCTTCGAAATCAGTGATTCTGTTTGAACTTCCAATTCCGTGAAGTGCGGAGATGCGTGAAGGTTGCATGGTCCGTAAAAATATTATTTCTGAATTTCCATGCCAGGTTTTTATTTAGTATCTACTTACACTTTGGCAGTCATAATAGCAGATAAGCTGACATTTTACAAAACAGCTATTGTTTAAGTTTTTTTGAATGCAGGGTAAGAGCTTATTAAAGGTTTTCATTTCATATCACATGTCATTTGAGGAGAGGGAAAAGCCAGTATTTCTCAAATATTTTTATGAATCCCTGTCTTGCTAATTGGAGGCTACTATAGTTAACACATCCCATGTTACTCAGTTTCCCTTCTGGAATTCATAGAAATTGTTGCCTTCCCGAAGTTTTTAGGTACAAGTGCTAATATTTTGCCAGTTCCCAGTTATATTTTTTTCTATTCCTTTGTTTCTACTCCTGTGACATTCTGCTTCCCTTGGACTTAATTTACAAGAGCTCTGTGTGCGGAAGCTGGGAAGGAGGGAAA